TGAATGGAGTGATTGCTTGTGTATTGGCAAACGACATCACAAAACATCGCCACTCAGAAGTAGTGACCACAAAAGTCGGCCTCGATCACCACTCGCAACAGCATACCGTGAAGTTGTGTACGGACGACATCCGCCCGTCCGCCGTCTGCAGAGCGACGCCAACAGCGCCACCCACCGACGCGACCAGACCGCGACTCACGGACATTGCCGAGAGCACTACATACCGGCGCAACCAGAGCGCAACTCATCGACATTGCCGAGCGCGCTACATACCGGCACGACCAGAGCGCGGCTAACCGACATTGCCGAGAGCGCTACATACCGACGTTGCGCCACTCAGCGGCGTCAGCAGCCCACCTGTACTAAAGCCACACCACTATGGCATAACGGACCAGTAACGGAACAAGGAGCTATTACCCAACCACCAGAAGCGACACATCTGGAATTTTCCACCGTGATCTTTTTGTTATACTTATGTATATAGAAGATAAGAAAGTTAGCCAATAAAGTACGATTTACCAGAGCCCCAAAACCCAGAAATTTATTGTAAGGAGCCCTAGACACGGCGAGTATACCCCAGCATTGTAGAAGAAGCATCGGGGCAACAGAAACGCTTCGTTACACTTGGTGCCCGCGCACGGACCCTTGGCAAATAGTACACATGCAAAGGAATTTTTTTGGAACAAACAAGGTGAATAAAATGGCGGAGCAAGTCAACACAGCGTGGCTGGATGATATATCCAAGGAGCAACTAGTATCCATGGCACAAGAATACGCAAGCGTATAATGGCTCTGGCGGCCAAGGTGCACACCGACCCTGAGATGTGCGTTAAATTCCAGGCAATTGAAACCACCAACAAAGACCGTGGGGCTGCCTCGGAAGACGGATCATCGACCAGGTAAAAGAGTGGTCATTAAATACGACAGTGGAAGACACCCGTTAGCTTTTGTGGAGCGATTGGAGGAGTTGCTCGAAGTGTATGCCTTGAACGTAGACCTACTGCCGAAAACCATGCCCGAACTACTGTGCGGAACCGCCCTTCACTGGTACCGCAACAACCACGATCACTGGAGTAGCTGGAGGAGCTTCAGGCGCGACTTCTTACCTTTCTTTCTACCAGCCCGGTATTTCGAAACCTCGAGGACCACATACGGCACCGAAGGCAGCACATACGGCACCGAAGGCATCACATACGAGAGAAGTATAAGGATTATGTGATTGCGATACAAAACCTGGTGCGCAAACCTGGTGGTATTGCAGCGAACAGCGTTTGGAAATAATTTTTCGCAACAGACCCAGACTACTTATGCATATGCATACTTTCGTTTTAAAAGCGAAATAATGCATATGAAAAAAAACGAAGTAATGCATACATGCACAGTTTCGGTTTAAAACCGAAATAATGCATATGGTAAAAACCGAAATAAAGCATACATGCACAGTTTCGGTTGAAACCGAAATAATGTCTAAATGCACAGTTTCCATATGCGCAATTTCGGTGCCCCGTATTTAAAATCTTGTACTTTACGGATTGGTCAAATTCGAACCAAAGGCTGTCTGTAGAAACTTACATAAACTTATGGAGAAAAACTTTCTTGCGTGAAATTATTAAAATAAATACCTATGTATATCTTACCTCATTATTAACTGAAGATTGTGAACACAATCGATTAACATATTCGAGGAATTTGTGTTCGTATAATAATTTTGTGCGCTGCTTTTAAATGATTTGACAATGTTGTTGTACTGTCATTAAAATTCATTTCGCTTCCTCACTTTTCTCATTTCATTTTTTTTAAATACGACCAAACAGCACTCCGCGCCATTGCGCGAAGATCAGTTTTAATTTAAGAGACGCCATTGCAAATAAATTTAAAAAAAAGTCGAGAGTCGAAAGTGAAGAGTCGACTTCAGTCGACTTCCATAAACTGAAAGCCGATCACTAAAATTCGACTTTCAGGAGTAAAAAGTCGATTATGGTCGAAAGTCGAAGACGACTTTGCCATCCCTACACATGTTCATCAGGGGCTCTATTCTGTAACTGTGAGTTTTCCAGTCTACACTGAAAATTGTGTGCACTCTTCATTTTGCGATTCAGGAAGAGTGAGAATGAGTTTTAGCTGTCAAAATTGTGTGCACTTCCTCATTTTGCGATTCAGCATCAGTGAGAATGAGTTTTAACTCAAAATTGTGTACACTTCTCTTCCGAAAAACTCACTGAATTTTAGTCGGTGAGTTTTTGGTTGTGAGTTTTGCACTCGGTGTACACTACATTTTCTCACAGTTACAGAATAGAGCCCCAGAGTATATCAAGGAAAGACGAATTCGTACAAGGTGATAGCGGAGCACAAAAACTACTATAACAAATTATACGCAAAATGACAAAACATAAAGAAATGTACAACAAACACATAATTTTTGACAATCAGTACAATTTGTATTGATATTAACGAGCAGCATTGCTAGCTCTAATTAGATTTGTTTTCGTTTATACTATGCATATATACATATACAAAAAATGGGTGCGTTCAAGCTACTTAATAATTACCGCAATATTGCAGCCCTATTGCCTATTTGCAACACTAATACTGATACTCAGCTGGTACCCTGCTGTAACGTTGAAAATTATTAATCCACAGAACGTGATTGCGATTAAGGTGCTTTAATTTGTGCACTGCGAGATGGAAATGTTAATTAATTTAATAATTGATGAAGTGGAGGAAGTGGAGGAAGCCAGTATCGATTTTTTTTCTAATGAATCGGAAGAAAAGAAGAATTATCATCAAAAGAAGAAATTTGTTGGTACAAAAAATATATAGAAGGAGGCGAGTCACAAAAGTGCAAAATTTTTATAAAACTATTGAAGTGTACGAATCCGACGTATTTTTCTCCCACTTCAGAATGAGTCGTGACACGTTTGCCGTGAGTTGAATAATTTAAAAGTTTTGAATAAATAAATCAAGACAATAAAAGGTATGCATTTTATTTAGAAACTGAATGATGCTCTGGAGCCTTTCTGGTCACCGAATAGTAGTAACTACTCCCTAAAGGCATAGCTGTATATGACGCTATGGAAACTATCCAACAGCAGAGTAACATATCGCGATCTTTCTGGTCGGTTAAATTTAGGCAAAGGAACAGCCCACAAACTTTTTTTTAAACTGTAAGGACAATATGCTGCCTTAAAACAGAAATTTCTTGGCCAACGATTGCTGAGCAGCGATTCGTGATGGAAGGCTTCCAGACAAAAAGGCCAAATTGCTTTCCCTTCGTTGTGGGATGCGCTGATGACATACACTTCAAAATAAAAAGACCAAGTAATGATGCTGTCAGCTATTATGACCGCAAGGGGACTTATTCTATAAATATGCAGGTGAATGATGAAATATACATACTTACATATATGGTAAAATAGTATTAAAATTGTTTACTGTCATAGGCTATATGCGATAGCAATCTGCGCTTTTTAGATGTATTTATCGGCTATCCTGGAAGTTGCCACGACGCCA